ACGTCCTATGGACATACTAAGGATTTGGTGTATAGGACGAGAGTATTTCTAACCTTACGGGATGTCCTCTGAATGCTCCAGGGATTTCCATATCCCTGGACGATTTCATTATGACATCCATGGGATGTCATTTTGTCCCACGTAGGATCCAAATGGGATGTCCCAGGGATGAACCCTTGCTACTTGGGCCCTCCTCCAAATATTATTTTTTTATGCTATGCCACAGCTGGCCCTGGCCTCTTCCTCTCCATGAGACAAAGTCAAGTCTGAGCCAATCCCATATGGCTAGTCACCTAGTCCTAGCCCAAGACCATCAAGTTGATTGAAGGCCCACTAGTTGCAGAAAGTAAATGCTGCTTTCTGCTGGGTCTTTTGGCTCATGGCAATTGTGGTTAGGTTAATGAAAACTTTTTGCAGTTCTAATTCAATTATGGGATATTTCATCTCAAATTAACCAGGGATGAGCTGGACAGGCTACAATTTTGGCAAAAATCAATAGAGAATCATTTTAAGAAATCATATTGAACACATTTTTTGCACCAATCTCCAGATAATCTTTTCCAGATATCATATCTTATTATTTCCAGATATATCTTATCTCCAGATAATCTGCATTTGAATATACAGTGGATTCCACTTTATTGAGTCATCGGTTAATGGGGGCAGCCAGTTTATCGGGACATTTTGTCAGGAATGGAATCATTTCTATGCAAGTGCATCTAAATTTCACCATATATTCTGGATGAAAAACTGTTTTATTGGGGCAAGGTCGAGATGAACTTATGCCGTCCCAGATGGGTTTTTTTGCCCACTTTCTCGATCCTCTTCGCCATGTCTTTCATGGTTAAAAGCTGGCCGACTGTTAGGGCAAAGACCATCGCAAACTGCTTCTGTGGATTTGGCTTTTATTCCAGACCAGAGGTGTTAGCGTCAGCCAATGAAGGGGGGTCTGACCATAATTGATATCACTAATGGAGGAGCCTATGTCAACATCGACAAAAACACATCATGCTTTGTCAAATGCGATGAGTTTGAGGGCGATATAGTCTAGGACTTTGTTGCCAAGAGGCCTTGCTAAGGGAATGTCGTAGACGAGGAGCCTGAGACTTACTCGCATAAGAGGCCACATAAGAGTGCTCAGTGGACATCCTTCAGTGCTACTTTATTGAGCAAGGTTTGGATGATAGCAGACACAGTGCTCTTGGCATAGGTGCTTCAGGGAAGCTTTTTCGGGTAAGAAAAAAGCAACTACGGCCACATTTCTTGATTTGTAATTTTTGTTCTTGCGCAAGTAGAGAACATTCGTGTCTGGGTTTCTTACTATACTATAAGCTAAGTTCACTTTATTGGGGCAGCTGCTTAATTGGGGCAAATTGACCTGGAACCAATGTGTCCCAATAAAGTGAAATCCACTGTAATACACTTTTGAGCTTCCTGCACCCATCTTGACCAAATAACCAAAATTGTGTGAGGATTTTAGCAATTACTTCTCACCTGATTAAGACAGAAGTAGGACTTTAACAATGGCAGTGTTTGGTTAATGGCCAGCTTTGATTTCACACACAATGGCATTGGCACTGGCACCAGAAGGCAATTGTGACAGTTGGGTGGGGGGGGGGGAAGGCTGGAAGCATATGTGCTTATTAATGTAAATGTGTGTCCTATGCCATTACTTGATGCTGTTGCTGTGACGGAGAATGGCTCAATCATGCACTTGTGAAACTGAATATTTTGCTGAAGAAACATTCAGTGCCTGCCAGAAAGGGCATATCCTAAGCCATCAGCTGAAATAACGTTGGGAAAGAGTAAGTCCTTCAGGATTCACAAGGCAATGATGCCAACATTAGATTCAATGTTAGGTGCTGGGATAGATTTATGCTTGGGTTTATGCAATGATTAGATTTTAGTTGCCTAGAAAAAACTAGGATTGGTATGAGTATTTGTCTTCTTGAAACAGACAGAAGTCTGGTAGCATGCCCAATTCCATCATTAAACCCAGGTCTAAGACATAGACAAAAAAGTACAATTCAAAGTTCAATTTCTACTTTTTCATGGAAGAGGCTGGAATAACCTGTTCCTTCTCTTGGAAAAAGAGACAAGGGAATGTGGTACTGGGATGAATTCATAAGCACATGCTTTCCTCTTTCTTTTCTTGGCAAGGAAAGGAAGGGGGCAGGGTACAGGTTTTCACAGTACCAATGCCTTTGGCATTAGTACTGTGAAAATCAATAGTGGCAGCTGCACTGGTACAGCCAAAGATAAAAAGTTTAATTTTGGTGTCACTTATAACCCTTTCCAGTATCCATCCAGTCCAATTTTACCTTTTAGGTAAATAATCTGAGAATCTTGTTAATGGTCACATGGGACCTGCAAACTGTGCATCAATAGTGACTTTTGGCAAACTATTAGTTCTTGATTGATTTTTATGCTGGACATGCTGTGACTCAATGGAGGCTGTTAGCCAAATAAGATATCTAACAACATGAGCAGACTAGCACACTTGTCTCATATTCAATGAACACTATCTCAAGTTGCAAACTGCTTTCCTTAACAAGGCACCATCTCCAAACATTTCCATTAGCCTCTCATTAATTCCAGTGGGGTTCTCACCTGCATTCAGCTGGAATACCTATTAATAATTAATGGCATGCTGCTCAATAACTGAGTCATTCATCGCCACATGCAGAGGCGCACACAGCAGTCGAGAAGGGTGGCAACATTAAAACAACCAGCAGGGGCATCTATGTGAAAGTTGGTGCACTTCAGGCTGAAGCATGGTACCATCTCACAGTAGCATCACTGCTCCATTGCTTGAAGATAATATGAAGCATATTTACTTTCTGAAGGCCTCCTCATATTTCTGAGAGCAAACTCTAGTGGGTTTGGGAAGGTAGATCCCTGAGCATTTGGCACTCTAAATGTGGGACATTAAAAAATCCTGATGAAGGCCAAACCTGGGTATTGTATTCCCAGAGTAATCACATGGGGTCATATTGAGTATCCCAAGGTTAGAGGATACTTATGTATGATGACATTACAGGGGGGAGGAGGGGGTCAAGTGGTGTTCCAGAGATAGGGTAGATTCATGGGTTGTGAACCTTCTGTACCTGGTGCTTCATTGTATCATATTGTAATCTGTTACAACTTGATAGCATCATCATCATCATTTCAAGCCTGTGCAGTGGTGGCAAGCAACCTACTCATATCTAACCCATTAAAACTTCATCAAGATCTAAAATACCAATAAACAAATTTCCATAATGAATGACCTTGAAATGGGGTTCAAGATTATGTATATATTTCCTTTTGTGCATCATGTGCGCTTCTTTTTTCCTGTTGGGTAGGGATTTTAGTTGGCTCCCCTTGTACCTTTATGAATGCTTTCAGAAACAATTTCCAGATTCATCAAAACAAAATAAAGTTATTGCTGGGTAAATGGACATGTACAACTTCATCGAACGGGATGGAACAATAAGAGAAATCCTATTTCGGATTTCTCTTATTATTCCATCTGAACATTCTGCTAGTGTGCTTGATTGTTTCCAGTGATGATCAGGTCATTGAACTAAAAAAAAACAATCAATGATGCACTGTCTCAACTCCATTGTGTGGTACACATCGACCCAGACAAGAAAGCTAAAATGACGATCTAAGATGAATGCGATAGGATCTTACCAGTTTCTCCTCCCTCACCATACTCAGCCATGGAATCAGTATCACTTTCAATGGGCCCCTTGGCACTGCTACTCAATGACCCATGGCTTCCCTTCTCCTCAAGCCTGAAAATCCATCATTCATCATATAACTGCATCTGAAAGCCATGACTTTTTCAGCATTTGGACATTCAACATTTCCTGGAACTTAGAACTATAATTTTGTCTACAAATGAATTCTGAGGTTTCATTCCAATCACCTTCTTTCCTACTGGTGAAAGCTATGGAGACATTTATACACCTGCAATATGATCTAAGCTAATGAATTTCTACCATATTCTCTTCTCCTAAGGTGAGGATTCTGAGTACCTGCAACTCCATACAAATGAAATCCACTCACGGTCGAGAATACTCATGAAAGCCAGCATCTTCTGGGTAGTCCAAATGTTTGCCACGAACCAATTCTTGATGGTAGACATCATACTTTCCGCCACGATTCCTCTTGATGATGCACACAATGATGAGGATGAGGATGAGGAAAGCAATAGCCACCATCATACCCACAAACCAACCAGCTGTAGCAACGTTGTCATAGGCTCGCACGTACAAAGTTTCATCTGATGTACAAAAATGAAAACATGCAAAATCTTTGTAGGAACTGCAATGGTCATCATGAAAATAAAACAGAAATGTAAAGCAAAGGCTGAAGTGGATATGAGACATCATGAACTTATGAATGGCTCCCATGAAGGTTGAAGGAGGCAGAGGTAAATCCCAGGGGAGACCATGCTATTTTAGATAGATTTACCTATATACAGGGTGTCCACAAAAGAATCATACAATGTTTATACTAAAATGTGCTTTTGCTTGCACGGACACCATTTTACTAAATTACAGACTGTATAATAGCATGGGTAGTGCATATGGGTATACTATTATGCGGTCTGTAATTTAATAAAATGGTGTCCATGCAAGAGAAAGTGCATTTTAATATAAACATTGGATGATTCTTTTGTGGACACCCTGTATGATCAATATAAAAATTGATGAGACAGCCACAACTTGTCTGTACCACATAACTGTAGGAAAGGATGAATTAACCCCTTAACCGGGTCAGACTTCTTTAGACATCTGACCTCCAATAGGTATTTGGTGAAAAACTTCCCAGTTAAGGGTTAACACTTGTGCTCCAGAGGGTGTGACAGAAGTTTTTTGAAGTCTGCAAAAAAAAATTTATAACTTTGGAATGCAAAATGTAAGAGACTTGCTCTTTTCTAGAAATTGAAGTATAAGGTCTCTATTTTATTGTGGGAAATTTCATAAAAAATTGCAAATTTTAAAGAATGTACTATTGTGTCCACTGTCATCCAATGCTGGTTAGGGCTGGACATACATTTACGTCCATCAGATCGAAAGTGTTAAAGGGTGAGAATAATATGCTGATTGTCAGTATGCTCATTGTCTTAAGGCTGATATTGATATTGAATGGGAGCGCTCATGCTCTCAAAAGTATTACACATACATAGTGCTTGCATTTAAAAGCAACAGAGGGAAATTTTGCTAGCTGTGTGTGGAGTTCATCAAGTGCATTATAGATCACTGGGTTGCACATCTGTAAGAATAAAAACAATTACTGGTGTGTTTCCTTGCCATTCAACCTGGTGAGCCTTGCAACTTTAGCTGGACTCCACATACAGGCAGCAAAATATGTTCTATGTTGCATTTCAATACAAACACCCTATATAAAGTGTGGAGTAAGCACTTTTGAGTTTTGTTCACTTCCTGGATAAATAATGAATTCCTTGCAAGGATGACCTTTTTTAATATTCCCAGGATACTTGACAAGACAAGTCATAGCAGCAGGGTAAAACCACCAATGTTTGGACAGTTAAGTTAGGATAGGCTTGTAATTTGCTCATCATGCCTTGGTGGTCACAACCCAGACACTTCATTTTTTGCAACTAGCAGCATAATATGAGTAGGGGTATGAGTGTGATAAAGGTGATGACCATCAAAGCCTTAAAGTTTTCAATAATTTTAATTATGTGGGTATCTGAACTTAGATGTGAAAAAATGAAGTTCAGACAAAACATAGCTTGGACACACCAGAAGTAAGGTGGAAATCTGCTCATGGCATGCGTATTTCCTTGTAGAAGTGCCCTACATTCCCAGTTTCATGTGGAAAAAGAATTAATCACAGAATTAACAATACCACATGGGAAGCATTCCTCAAGTAAGGTCATCTCTGTACATTTTCTTGAATTTCACCTGTCTGCAACATGACATTAATTTCTGCCTGATATTTCGAAAATTGTGCTCAACAATTGTAGCCACCACAATTCTTTCACTTAGTAATACAGTCATCATGGGTTAAGAAGAACTATATCTGATGTTGATCTCACGAATGTGTCTTTATTAAAAATAAACTTTAGAATGTCTGAACTTAAGTATTGTCCAATCTTAGGTGGTTTTATTATATGAGCTAATTTACTGGGACCTTGCTGACATCCACCAACATCATTTAGAGGCTATGTTCCATACTGGTTGTGTCACACCAAATAGAAATTAGCATTGCTGCATTGTCATTGCATGTCTGCATTGCTGGTTGCTTCTTTAAATGGTGTCAGGAACCAAAACAGCATATGAAAAGTTGAATCTGCACTTTTTCAAACAGAACTGCCAAATCATACTAACATCAGCAGCAAGCATATTCTTTTCACTTTGCTTAGAAGTCTGTCTGGTCATTTCTTCACTCGTAAGCTATAATATACCCATCCTAACAATAGGTATCCATATGAAAAGGGCTCTCACTGTCAAAATGTATGCAAGCAACACTTTTTCTCAGCCTCTTGTAGTAGGCTGCCAAACTGATGGTGCAGATATAGCTTTTAAGTCAAAATATTGTCCATCCTATGATGCATTCTCCAAATGCAGGTTTCAGAAGGAATGCCTAATTTCAACTTCTTCCTATTAAAAATTTTGAGTAAGAAAATCTGATATTGTTAGTAAGGCCTCTTAACATGTTCACCACCACAGCAATAATGGTCTAGGGACTTTCATATTCAGTAGGGCACACTCCTGGCAGTCAATATGTTAAAGAATTCCATCCTGCCCTAATCAAATTTGACACCTGTTTTTGAAGAATACACAGCAAACCATTTGTTTCCCAGAAGCGGTATTATGGTAAATGAGGACAAGTTCATATAGTACAAATGTCCATCTGAGAGGAGAAAAATTAAAAGAATAGAGCAGAAAGCAACTTTTGACAGCATACAGGCAATGACACTGTTAGGTACCAAGCTTTGGAAATTTTTGAGGAAGCACCTACTCTTGGGAACAAGCTTCAATTGCACACAAAAAAAATATTTCTTCCTGTTTCTTATCTCTCTCACTCCTCTATACATCCCATCTGTACTTTGCTAAATAATAAGGACATGCCAAATCCAGCTACACTGAAATGTCTTCATGTCATCCATGACCAACCCATTTTCTATACCTCTTTCAATTAAAGGAATAAGGTAATAAGATAGTTGAAATAAAAAATATTGCATAGGTCCTGGCTCCAGTTTTTCTTTTCTCCCTCTCACAAGTCCACACTATGGCTGAAAAAATCCACTGGGTAATAAAGACCTATGTCAAGTCCCTGAATACCCTACGTACCAAGCTGCACCCCCAGGTCAGAGTAATCTCACCATTGCTCCAAGTGCGAACTTCTTCAGGGTCACTGAAGGCAAAGGACTTGCCATCAACAGAAACAACTCGAATCTCATACACTTCCCCTGGATCCAGTCCTTTCATGTCTATGAAATCTTCATAGTACTCCTTTTCTGTTTCCAGATATATGCTCTCCCCACGTTTCCTGTATGTTTCCAAATAAATTTCTGAATCAAAAACACACCATCAACATAATGGGGTAGTAGGCCTATGGTTCACATACAAGGTGAAAAATAGAGAGACTAAAACTAGTGATGGTTGAATCATTTGCAAATCTCAATGTCTCCAATAAACAACCAAAGTTTGGTGGCAGTGACATCAATAGTTCTAGGTATTCCTTTTTTTTTTCTCTTTTCACTGACAGTATATTTCTGAAGGTGAGATATCTTGTAACTTCCTTCAAAAATCTGCCAGCATTGGTGTCTGTCTCACATTCACCGATCAAAAAATTATGTTGGTCTTCAAAGGACATGGAGAAACAAGAAATGGCAATCATTTCAGGCAGACAATACAAGCTCAGCATGTGACTTCCTTCCTTAAAGCTGAGGGAAATGTTCTTGATTAAGGACATCACTTCTGTTCATTGTTAGCTCCTTGTTAGAAAACCAATGAGACTCAATCAAAGGTGAAGACAAATGGGAGTTGACTTCTGTAGAAATGCACTTGAATTAAACAAATACCTAAGGACTATGAAGAAAACTGAAGTGCACAAAAGTAGAACAAAGTGCACTGGAGTACAAAAATTATTAAAATAGCTTCACCAAAACACATAAAGACAAAAGACACCAAAAGATTAAATAAATAATATATTAAATTGGAAATTTCCTACATTACCTGTACTGAATGAAGAAGTGAGAGCCAGGTTCCCCATCAGTGTTTGGTATCCAATATACACGGATAGAAGCAAGACCACCATCTGAGGCCAGGTGCTCCCAAGTGAATGTTGGTGGATCTGGCTGAGATTCACCATCTTCATTTGTGGACACTTCAATGAAGTAACTGGAAATAAAATGAAAATACTTTTTTTTTAAAATTATGTAATAAACAATGCCTGATCCACTATTGGAGAAAATTGACATTAAAAAAATTCTATTTGCATGACATTAAATGATATGAGATGCTGCATGATCATGAAACACATGCTTTTCAGGAGGATTTTTATAAAATGCCACATGCATATGCCTTGTGTAGAACACAGAGGTGTAATTCATATTAGATTGGATTACTAAAATATATTTCAGGAACTTAACAAAATCCCCCCCACCCCATCCAGATATGGAAAGCTTGACAGGTGATAGTGAAATAGTGGGTGGTCTCCACTTGTTCCCAAAGGATATTTGAGAGTGAATAAGTCCATCAATAGCTACTGGAGAGCTATATGAGGAAACTATAATGTATTGTTGCCCCCTTCTTCATATTCTGCAAAGCCAGCAGGGAGATCAAGTGTACGAGGGGCATTCAAAAAGTTTTTTCCTTGAGGCACTCTAAGTTGTAATACACCATTCATATTTTTTTCATAGAAAGGCAGATGTCTTTGATGATGAATGGAAAATTTTCAACTTATTTGTCTATGATGGAAAGCTTCTATGAATTTTTTTCAATGTCCTACCAAGGAGTCTGTTGAAGGGGTATTAAAATTGAAAAGAATGCTG